AAAAATAAAAAAGATTTAGCCCAGATCTTACTCCTTCAGAAAGTGCCTCCTAATTCACCAATTTCCAAAGTGCTAGTTCAGAATATCCTTCCCTCCTCAATGTTTCTATCATATCTTGTGCCTAGCTCTATCACTATACTGCCACAGTTTCATAATTTTGTCAATGTCTGTCAGCACCTCCCCCTTCCCAAACTTTTTCCTCCCTAAGAAACCCTAATTTTGTTTAGGTATCTCTTCCTCCAGTCTCCAAAGGAAGCTACCTTCTGTACTAGCTCTAGGGGTGGATCTTGATTATATTAAGTCAGTTCCCTGAAAACCTGTTATTGATTTGGAATGGACACAAACCAAAGTTGACCCAATCATATTATAAAGGAAGGACTTATATTCCATAATTGGGCAAATGGCTTTCTTTTGCCCTCTCGTGTTGAGTGTTACTAAAGTATGCAGGTATTCCTAATTTCTTCTGACAGTCTTATAATCAGGATAGAAATAAGCCTTATCATGAAACAGCAATGTAAATGGAGGAGCTAAGAGACAGAAAGGACCAGGGTACTTGATGACTAATAGAATTCTTTAATCAACCAACCTTGGAAGTTTTGTCATGGGAGATTATTTATTGTTTAAGTAACTTTTAGTCAAATTTCTATTGCTTACAGCCAAAAGCATCCTAAATGAGGTACATTGCAGGTACTGAATTACTAGACAATTCCCAATACTAAATGAAACGTCAAGAAGTAATAATTTTAGGACTTTGACCAGGTAATGCTTTGCTAAAATAGTCCTTAAAAGAAAGAAAAATTCAAATACTTAATTAGAGAAGACAGATAAGTAACACCAAGAGAAGAATACAGATTGAAAAAGGGCACTGAGGTAGAAATGTGTGTAGTAATTTCAGAGGCTTGTGAGTAGCCTGAAGGAGTCTGGCTAGAGTAGATGGTATGTAAGAAAAATAAAACTAAAAAAACTAAAAAAAAAAAACTTAAAAAAAAAAAGAAAACTAAAACTAGAAAGATAGGTAAATTCACAATGTGAAAACCTTCAATTATTTTTCTCCGGTTATTTTTTTTAAAAGGTGTATAATTTAGTTTCAAGAGTATCAATGATGTTTTGTTTTTTAGGCCATTATTCATGGTTACATGGCTAATTTTTTACTTATATATCCTAAATATTTCATTTTAAAAAGTGGGATATAATTCCAATGAAAGGCATTATTTTGGCCAAAAAGCACATTATTATTTCCTTGTATAATTGTCCAAAAGTATCTTGATAAAAATTACTTTTGCCCTCTAAAATTAAACTATTTTAGTAGTGGAAAAAAATTCCCCCATTCAAATGAATAGGAATTCTATAAAATGCTAATACCTCGGAAATGTAAAGATCAGCTTGTTTTAGTAACTCTCCAATAATTAGAACATTGGAAGTAGTACCGTCTCCTGTAATGTCATCCTGGGCTGTTGCTACTTTTGCTATCAAGGAAGCCGTTGGGTGTTGAATTTGCTGGAAAAGGTAAACAACAGATTTTTTTTTTTTAAGATTTTATTTATTCATGAGAGACACACAGAGAGAGACACAGGCAGAGGGAGAAGCAGGCTCCATGCAGGGAGCCCGACGTGGGACTCGATCCAGAGTCTCTAGGATCACGCCCCGGGCCGAAGGTGGCGCTAAACTGCTGAGCCACCCGGGCTGCCCTAAACAACAGATTAAAAAGAGAGAATGAGTTTTGGTCTAATGAAACAAGATAATCTAAGGTCCAATAGTAAAATTAAGAAATAAGCTTCAGGGCAACCCGGGTGGCTCAGCGGTTTTGCGCTGCCTTCAGCCCAGGGTGTGATCCTGGAGTCCCGGGATCAAGTCCCACGTCGGGCTTCCTGCATGGAGCCTGCTTCTCCCTCTGCCTGTCTCTGCCTCTCTCGCTCTCTCTCTCTCATGAATAAATAAATAAAATCTTTTAAAAAAAAAAAAAGAAGCTTCATTATACGAGTTCACAAATTGTTATTATCAATGCTTAATAAATGTCAATATCAAATTATTTAAATTGAAAACTAATGAGGTTTGAACGTTTTTTAAGAGTCTTTGTTTCAGGGGATCCCTGGGTGGCTCAGCAGTTTAGCGCCCGCCTTCGGCCCAGGGCGTGATCCTGGGGTCCCGGGATCCAGTCCCGGGATCCAGTCCCACGTCAGGCTCCCTGCATGGGGCCTGCTTCTCCCTCTACCTGTGTCTCTGCCTCTCTCTGTGTGTCTATCATAAATAAATAAAATCTTTAAAAAAAAGTCTTTGTTTCAGAATGCAATGAGATCAAATCCTTGAATCTCTAAGATGAATATATTTACTAAAATTGCAAAGGATTTTTTATATTTTCATGATTACAACTCAGTGCCTTTAAAAGATGTAACTGAAAAAAAAAAAAATGTAACTAGGCAGCCCCAGTGGCTCAGCGGTTTAGCGCCGCCTTCAGCCCAGGGCCTGATCCTGGAGACCAGGAATTGAGTCCCACATCGAGCTCCCTGCATGGAGCCTGCTTCTCCCTCTGCCTGTGTCTCTGCCTCTGTCTCTCTCTCTGTGTGTTTCTCATAAATAAATATTAAAAAAAAAACCTTTAAAAGATGTAATTTGGAAGTATCCCTAAGCTATTATTTGAATTGTAAAAAGATTTGAAAAACACCAAAATCATCTTTTATTAAGGTTTAACCAAACAAGTATAACCCATGACTGCAGTACTTAAGTGACAGCCTTGGTTTAAACATATACAATTTCTACTATGTTCTAGGCTTACTAAGATTTATTAAAGTCAGCAGCGTCAGCTCACCATCTCATGGAGTAGTACATTGCCATCTTTGGTGAGTTTGATATCACCTGCACCAGAAACAAGCCTGTTCAGAAAACAGTGATATTATTAACCTCATATGTCAAGAGTCAAGCAAGGCATTCTCATTTCTTGCCATTCACTGTCCTTAATAAAAGGAACTGAGCCTCAGGGCACCTGGGTTGTTCAGTGGTTGAGTGTCTGCCTTAGGCTCAGGTTGTGATCCCAGGGTCCTGGGATCGAGTCCCACATCAGGTTCCCTACATGGAGCCTGCTTCTCCCTCTGCCTATGTCTCTGCCTCTCTCTGTTTGTCTCTCATGAACAAAAAAAAAAAAGAACTGAGTCCCAAAACTTCCCATGTGCCATGTGGCAATACCATGGTAATCACCACCATGTGCAGCCTACAGAATCACTTCTCCCCATATAGACTGCTATAGCGATTTCATTCGAAATGGAGCATTTACAAGTTGAGAGAAATTGATGAGTTATGAACAGCAGTTTGGTCAAAAAAGGATACTTGGAAATCTACAAACTACAAAATCGTAAATTTCCTGCAAGCTTTTTATTTTGGTGAAATGTTACCATTCATTCACTCAACTTAGTGTCTTCCCTCATCCCTCACGTTTATTAGATCATCAAGTTCTGTTGATTTTACAACCTAAATATTTCTTGAATCTACTCCCTCCTCTCCACGTCTACTGTCATCAACAACTCTAGCCTGGACTTAGCATCCTGGTATCTCTGAATTTGAATCTACCCTCCACACTATATTTATCTTTCTAAAACACAGTGTGACCCTGTCAGCTCCCTATTCAAAAATCTATGTTCTCCATCATCTTCCAGGTAAAATCCAGACTATTTAGCAATGAGGTAGTTCACCTTTCCCGCTCTGGCTTATGTTTGTTTTTCCTGCCACACCTGCCAATGATATCTTGTGGTTCCCTTTTACACATCATGTTTGTTTTCATTTCTGTTGGATTTACACCATTGGGCTTTCTTGTTCCTTAAGTTACTAGGACTTTAGTCCCTTCTCCAACTGGTGAACTCTAACTTATCTTTCAAGGCTCTGATCAAAAATCTGTTGAGAGGGCAGCCCGGCTGGCTCAGCGGTTTAGCGCCGCCTTCAGCCCGGGGCCTGACCCTGGAGACCCAGGATCGAGTCCCGCGTCGGGCTCCCTGCGTGGAGCCTGCTTCTCCCTCTGCCTGTGTCTCTGCCTCTCTCTCTTTCTCTGTGTCTCATGAATAAACAAACAAAGCCTTTAGAAAAAGAAAAAAAAAAAAAAACAAAACCCTGTTGGGAGGCTTCTCCTTCCCCCTCAGTCCTATCATAGGATTCCTGGCCTATATACCACATATACACCACCCCTTCATCACCTGGGTTCCCAGCATCCGGTTAGTATACAAGCGCCCTCTTTTACCGTTAATATTAATTCTGCTTACTCCTCTTAGAACGTCTCTCTCTCTCCTAAACATTTTGGTTCTCTTTTCCTCACTCTTCTAAAGAAGATGGTGATGCTACGTAGAGATGCTGAAAGGGTGGCTCGGAAGCAGCGTGGGCACAGAGCGTTCAGACAACTTGCCTAAGGGCGGACAGCTGGAAGGGAGCTTGGATTTGGACCCACACCTGCCGGGCCCCAGGCCTGTGCCCTTACGGCTGCGACACGGCCCCACAAGTCCCCAAGTAAAGACACACAGTGTCAAAGCGCAGGGGAGTTCCCCGGCTGGCGCTTCTAAGGGACCACATCAGGGGCACGGGAACGTTAACGGAAGGCGGGGGGGTGGGGTGGGGGTGGGGGTGGGGGGACGGACGGGCCACGGGCGCCCTCCGCGCAGGAGTGACAGCGAGGACAACGGGCCCACGGGTGCTTCCTGCGGCTCCAGGCTCCCGGCGGAACTCCGGGTCCTAACCGCCGCTCCAACCGCCCCGCAGGCTCACATTTTCATGGTGCCCTTGGGCCCCAAGTTGGTGCGCAGGACATCCTGCAGCCCTCGGGCGGCGCAGATATTGACGGCCAAGGCCGCCTGGGCCCGCGCCACCTCAGCCTTGGAGTTGATGGCCTTGACCGCAGCCATCGCATCACCCGGCGCGCCACCCGCCAGGTAGTGACAGCCTCAGCCGGGATCCCGAGAGGAAGCCGGGGCCGGAGCCTCAGCCAATCCTCGCCGGGACCGGAAGTGACGTCGCCAGGCCTCGCCCGCGCGGAAGCCGCGATCGCTTCGGGTCGGGGCGCCAAGATGGCGTCCTCCGCCTCCGCTCGCGCTCCCGCGGGGAAGCGAGTTGTGAATCAGGACGAACTGCGGCGGTTGATGAAGGAGAAGCAGCGTCTGAGCACCAACCGGAAACGGATAGAATCTCCATTTGCGAAGTACAACCGTTTGGGGCAGCTGAGTTGCGCCCTGTGTAATACGCCGGTGAAGAGCGAGCTCCTGTGGCAGACCCACGTTCTGGGAAAGCAGCACCGGGAGAAAGTGGCCGAGCTGAAAGGCGCGAGGGAAGCCACCCAGGGACCGTCCTCCAGCGCAGCGCCTCAGTCAGCCAAGAGGAAGGTGCCGGACGCCGATGGCCAAGATGCCAAAAGACTCAAGGCCTCCCCGCCGCCTCAGGTGCAACCCTCCACATCCGCTTTGCCCACCAACTTTGACAAAGCAGGGAAGGAATCCACCAGAGCGACCCTCAGTAAGGCTTCGGGACTCGGTTTACTCCCTGATTATGAGGATGAGGAGGAGGAGGAGGAGGAGGTGGAGGAGGAGGGGGGAGGAGGAGGGAAAGGAGGGGACTCGAGCAAGCAGCCGCCCGACGCACAGGGCAAGGACCACTCGCTTTCCTCCCCGAGGGAGGCAGCAAGTAGTATGCTGCCAAGCGGTTTCTCGGATACAAATCCCCCCAAGGCCCCCTTAATTCCTCATTCAGGGTCAATTGAAAAAGCAGAAATACACGAAAAAGTAGTGGAAAGGAGAGAAAACACAGCGGAAGCATTACCAGAAGGCTTTTTTGACGACCCTGAGATAGATGCAAGGGTACGAAAGGTTGACGCCCCAAAGGATCAAATGGACAAAGAGTGGGACGAATTTCAGAAGGCCATGAGACAAGTCAATACCATTTCCGAAGCCATAGTTGCTGAAGAGGATGAGGAGGGACGGTTGGACCGGCAAATTGGGGAGATCGATGAGCAGATAGAATGTTACCGTCGGGTGGAAAAGCTTCGGAATCGCCAGGATGAAATAAAAAATAAGCTTAAAGAGGTTCTGACTATAAAGGAACTGCAGAAAAAGGAAGAGGAGAATATTGACAGCGATGATGAGGGAGAGCTACAAGATCTGCTGTCACAGGATTGGAGGGTAAAAGGGGCTTTGTTATAGGGTTTCAAGACCCAAGATTTTCACACCCTCTACAATGGTACGAAAAGTGCTGTTTCTGGGTATGATTACTGGTTCCGTCGTGCTTGGAGATTTGGTGACCTAACTGGGTTGTTGACATACAATGAGCCTGTGAAGATAGCACTTTTGAAAATTGGTGTAAAATATTTTCGAGGTGAGGTTGTTTTTGAAATTTTTGGACTATTGTATACTAAAATGTCAACTTTTTTCACACGTTAAGTGAGTAATTTTGCGTTGTCAAATCTGTAAGCTGTAAATACTGTACCTCGTTAAATATATATTTACTTAAGTAATTCTGTTTTGAAATTTATAAATAAATAGAAGCCAGGCTAACAGACAAGCTTTTAGATAAAAACCAAGTGTGGCATTTGGGATATATGTGTTTTTTTCTTTTCTGATCCCCTAAATCAACTCAACTTCCTGCAGCAGGAGGGTTTTGTAGAAAGGTGGGGAAGAGGGGTTGTTTTTTGCTTTCAAGAATACTATTTATAAACATTATAAGTCATTCAGGGCAAATCAGTTCTCTGAGTATTGTTTCTGTTTCAAAAACATGCACTACGAGAACATGGGAAAATAGATGACCAAACCTCCTTAACCCAATTATTTCTCTTGATTAAACCAATGATTCTTGGATGTGATGTAGGTGCACATGAAGATCACCTGCCAAGCTTTTGAAAAGGTGCCTATGAAGTACCTCGGAGCTTTGAAAAAATTTGTGTGCCCAGAACCTACCATTAAAGATTCAGTAACTCTGTGGAGTGGGGCCCAGGTATCTGTATTAGTTTTGAAAGCATCCCATGTTGTTCTAGTATATGCCAAAGTTGAAGGGTCCTGTTTAGGTCGCCCTAAATCCAGAACCCATCTATATGTTTTCACGCTTTGTTTTTTTAAATACCGCATTCCATAAGTTTATCATCAATTGTATAAAAGAAATACCACCTTTTATTTAGGTTTCATCCAGTCTTAAATTTATTACATTTCATGGTTAAATAAGGGTTCAGAGTTGCTGTCCATTGTAGGGAGGATAAGTTTTTTTCTCAAGGAGTAACAATTAGCTTGTTCCAGTCACTCACGGACTGTTGAAATCACTCCTTTTCCCTTTGGCAATAGAGGTATTCAAGTGAAAAAGGAATTAGCAGTGTTCCAGAGGTAGAAATGCATATGGCATACTCAAATGAAAGTGTGTAGTAATGATGATAATAACTAAAACATAGCCTTTACATTGGTTCTAAGTGTTTTACATAAACCAAATCTAGTTGCTCTAAAGCTCAGTTGTTGGGGGCCAGGGTGGCTCAGTCGATTAAGCATCTGCTCAGGTCATGATCCTGGGGTCCTGGGATCAAGCCCCACGTCGGGCTCCCTGCTTAGTGGGGAGCCTGTTTCTCCCACTCCCCCTGCTTGTGCTCTGTCAAATAAATAAAATCTTTTAAAAAAAAAAGTTTAAAGCTCAGGTTTTATGAAGAATACCAAGAGTTAAGGTATGAAAAAGCCTCACTTGGATGCTAGGTGAAGGAATTCTTCCTGTCAGCAGTGTAGGAAAAATAGAAGTTTTTGAACAAAAAATGATATTTGCAAAAATAATTACGGAAGATGATTTTAGTTGCAGTATATAAAATGGAATGAATGTGGATAGGAAACGCTGTGAGACTACTTGGAAACAGATTTTTTTTTTTTTAATTTTTATTTATTTATGATAGTCACAGAGAGAGAGAGAGAGAGGCAGAGACACAGGCAGAGGGAGAAGCAGGCTCCATGCACCGGGAGCCCGACGTGGGACTCGATCCCGGGTCTCCAGGATCGCGCCCTGGGCCAAAGGCAGGCGCCAAACCACTGTGCCACCCAGGGATCCCGTGGAAACAGATTTTAAAAGTAAAGTGAACAAGACAGTTACGGACTGAGAGTAAACAAAGTTGAAAAATTTCACAGGAAAGGCTAATATTTTAGTGAGTAGAGGTAGAAGAAAAACAGGAGGGATAAAGATGAAATTCACAGGCATGGGGGTTTTTAGTGTGGGTCCCTAAAAAAGTTATCTAACACTTAACTGAGCAAATTAACTGTCTTTGGCAGAAAGTCTTTTCTTGAGCTGTCAGCTGATTGGTAATAGCTTTGATTTGATAACAGCCTGCTTTCAGTGTATAAACCCACAAGTACAATTTTCTATCATCCTTCAGTTTTATTTTAAAGATTTTGTTTATTCATGAGACACAGAGGCCGAGACATAGGCAGAGGGAGAAGCAGGGTCTTCGAAAGGAGCCCAATGTGGGACTCGATCCTTGGACCAGGATCATGCCCTGAGCCAAAGGCAGACACTCAACCACTGGGCCACCCAGATGTCCCCACTTTTATTATTTTAGAGTGAGGAAATACAAAGTACACAGGAATAGTAGGCCCTGTTCTACATTGGCTTAAGAAGCTAGGCTGATGATCTAGCAGAGCACCGCCCATTTAAAAATACGGGGCAAGCCACATATATATTTTCAATTTTCTAGAAGCCACATGAAAAAGTAAAAAGAAATATGAAATCAATTTTAATGTTGGGAGGCCTGGGTGGCTCAGCAGTTGAGCATCTGCCTTTGGCTCAGGGTGTGATCCTGAAGTTCCGGGAGTGAGTCCCACTTCGGGCTTCCTGCATGGAGCCTGCTTCTCCCTCTGGCTATGTCTCTGCTTCTCTGTGTCTCTCATGAATAAGTAAAATCTTTTTTAAAAAATTAGTTTTAATGTATTTTATCTAATATATCCAAAATAGTCACTTTTGAATGTATAATCAATATTTTTTTAAGATTTTTATTAATTTATTCATGAGAGAGAGAGAGAGAGGCAGAGACATAGGCAGAGGGAGAAGCAGGCTCCCTCTGGGGAGCCCAATGCAGGACTCAGTACCAGAACTCCAGGATCATGACCAGAGCTGAAGGCAGACACTCAACCACTGAGCCACCCAGGTGTCCCTATAATCAATATTTAAACGTCATTAACGAAATATTTTACATTTTGCCGTTTCTAGATTTCTGAAATCTGGGTATATCTAACAGCACATCTCAGTTTGGACTGGCCGCATTTCACGTACTAGCCATATGTGACTAACAGTAAAGGACAGCACAGACAAGAAAGTTGTGCAGGTGGAAAAATAAAACATGCACAGGAGGGAGTGAGGAGACCAATTTAGAGGGGAATGTTCTTTCCTGATAACAGTGGAAGTTACTGTTAGGTAGATTATGGGATGCCTGGGTGGCTCAGCAGTTGAGCATCTGCCTTCGGCTCAGGGCGTGATCCCAGGGTCCCAGGATTGAGTCCTGCATCGTGCTTCCTGCATAGAGCCTGCTTCTCCCTCTGCCTGTGTCTACCTCTCTCTCTGTCTCTCATGAGTAAATAAAATCTTTTTTTTTTTTTTAAATATTTTTATTTTATTTATGATAGTCACAGAGAGAGAGAGAGAGAGAGAGGCAGAGACACAGGCAGAGGGAGAAGCAGGCTCCATGCACCGGGAGCCCGACGTGGGATTCGATCCCGGGTCTCCAGGATCGCGCCCTGGGCCAAAGGCAGGCGCCAAACCGCTGCGCCACCCAGGGATCCCAAGTAAATAAAATCTTAAAAAAAAAAAAAAAAAGGTAGATTATGAACCATTGTGTAAGGTCTTGAATGCCATGCTCTAAGTAGTTGAGAGTTTTCTATAAATTAACAATTGAGTATCCTTGAAGTTGTTGAGTTCATTATAACACAGAAAGCTTAAGGAATGCCAGGTATATGTTACTATACAAATAAACAGCACTGGGCTTTTAGGAGAGAGAGAAAGCTCTGTTCCCAATACTCTGTATCCGGGAGAATGAGTGGTGGGACCCTGAACAAAATGAAGGAAATCCTTGTTGGATCTTTGATCAATGTAAAAAGCTACCAGGGTTAGTGGATCCCTCCTGATTCTCCACACATTGGAGACTCCTTCATACCTCTCTGAGCTGGGTCAAATAGGTTTTGGCATTAGACTGTGAATCCACTAATGTTCCCAAATTATAAGACTTAGTCCCACGATTTCTTCCAGTCACTGTTCTCTTTTTAGAGAACCCCCCTCATTTAGCCAACAATATGTTAGAGTTACTGTGAATGAAACAAAGGTAATTCTCTCACCAATTCACTTACCAATTCAGTGTAGTTCCCCTAACTGGAGAGGAAAAAAATGCCAGTCTAACTAGCCTTCAAATGTAAATTTGCTCAGTGGTTTACAACTTACAAAATGCTTTCACATTTGTACTTTCTTTATTGATGTATTTGTATTTCTTTATTGATGAAAGTAATAAGTACTTTTTACACACCAGGAAACAAAGTAAGAGGCTCCGGAATTAAAATTCCAGGAGAAAAATCAATTTACGCCTAAAACCTTTACTAGTAACAATCACCAGATTGGAGCTATTAAGAACAGGGGAATCGGCAAGAGAAAACAGATGACACAGGTTCAAGTTCCCACTCTACTTTTTTTTCTTTAATAAGCATTTATTGAGTATATATGATACAACAGGGTTTTTTTCTTTTTTCAACTTGATTTTTTTTTTCACTTATATTCAATTTGCCAACATATAGTATAAACCACTCTACATTTTAATGGTTAGTGATCTTGGGCAAGTCACATCTCTAAACCGTACTGCACTCTACTATCAAACAATGATACCTCACAGGCCAAATGACACATGCCTCTGAAGAGGATTTATAAACAAGTGCAATACAAGTATGTCTACTACAGATGGTCCCCCACTTACTATGGTTGTACTTCACACGTTTTTTCGACTTTACAATGGTGGGAAAGTGACAGATTCGGCAGAAACTGTACTTCAAATTTTGAATTCTGAATTTGACTCTTTTCCTGGGCTAGTAGTAAGCGGTATGACATTCTCGGAATGCTGGGCAGCAGCAATGAGCCACAGCTCCTAGTCAGCAACGTGATCACAAGTTAAAACAATCGATACACTGACAGCCATTCTGTAGCCACACAACTATTCTTTGAATGAAATATTCAATGGATTATATGGGATATTCAACACTTTTTTTTTAAGATTTTATTTATTCATGAGAGAGAGAGAGAGAGAGAGAGAGAGAGGCAGAGACACAGGCAGAGGGAGAAGCAGGCTCCATGCAGGGAGCCCGATGCAGGACTCCATCCCAGGACCCCAGGATCACGCCCTGGGCTGAAGGCAGGCACTAAACCGCTGAGCCACCCAGGGATCCCCTCAATACTTTATTATTATTATGAAATAGGCTTTAAGTTAGATGTTGCCCAACTGTAGGTAATGTAAGTGTTCAAGAGCACGTTTAAGGTAGGCTAGACTAAGCTATGATGTTTTCATCTTATAATGGATTTACCGAGACTTCCTGCAGGGTTACGTCCCAATATGCCCATCATATGTTGAGAAAGATGGCCTAGTCTTTCCCTGCCACATGCTAACTTGATTTTAGTCTAACATAAAGCCCCTAATTTCCTCTTTGTGATTGAGTTAAGTAGAGCAGGTGATTTTCTTGAGATTTCTTTTACCTCCAAATTTTTTATTTTGCCATGAGACAAGTGGTATCTCACCTTTTAAACATTTTTAAAGTCATCCAATTCACTGTCTGGAGATATATGGCTAAAGTGTTGCCGCTTTTATTATTTGCCCAGCATAGTCCCCATTTATCTTGGTGTGATTATGAACAGTACTCACCTTCCCTCTCAACACTCCTTTTCTGGAGGTATAGATACCCACCTAGAATTTTTATAGGAAGAAAAATCACTTACTAATGAACATAGAATCAAGGTCTTAATGGAAATAGTATGTTTCCTGTTAATGATGTACTAATTGGCTGGCTACTTGGCTGGATATTTGTGTAGGGGGAATTGAGTAAGTATATGGGTAGGAATAGTGGCTAGATAATTTTTTTTAATTTACTTATTAATGAGAGATGGAGAGAGAGGCAGAGACCTAGGCAGAGGGAGAAGCAGGCTCCATGAAAGGGGCCCGCTGATGGACTTGATCCCGGGACTCTGGGATCATGCCCTGAGCTAAAGGCAGACAATTAACCGCTGAGCCACCCAGGCATCCCTAGATAGATAATTTTTTATTGCTTTTTAATACTAACAGTCTAGTAGTTTGTATAATATCAAGAATTACTTGAGAAGCTTTACATTTGAACAGGAAGAAAATCCCAAAACTCTGCAGTCTATTTTCTATTTTTTTCTGCATTCTATTTCCTATCTATAGTTCCTTTCTCAGTGATCTCATCCATTCTTGTGGGTTTAAATATCACCTATATACTGATGACTCTGAATTTATATCCCTAGCCTTGACCCTTCTCCTAAGAGTCATCCTTCATTCCCTTTTATTCCCCCAAATCTAATGCATTGGCCAGAGTCCTGGCATCTCTCCCTCTAAAATATGATATGCCCAGAATCTGTCTACTACTTTCTGTCTCCACTGGTCCTAGCCACCATCTCTTGCATTAGTGTTACCTGTTCCCTCACACACACCCTAGCCACAATCAGTTATCAACAAGAGTGATCTTTTAAAAATTTAGATCAAGTCACTGTCACTAAAAACTGTTCATCATATGCTTCCATTACACTTGGGAGAAAAAAAAAAATCCAGGCCCTTATTAAGCTCACATGATGCTCAGCAT